AAAGGGGAAATGGGGGTATGACAGCAAGGCTTGGGGAGGCGATGCATCGTGCGTCAGCCGGCGGAGCGGCCATGACCCCCAAGCGCGGCCGGTCGGCCGGTGCAAGGTGTGAGTGGTCTTGTGTCCGAGGCAACCAGGAACCAGTCTCAAGCAGACATCGGATCCTGGTCCCGGGATCGCACCTCCACAGCTGCCAGGGCGGTGAGGAGGCGGGCGCGCCAGCCCTCGTACCGCCGGCGCACGGCGCCCGTGGCGTGCAGCAGCGCCTGCCTGTGCTGGGCCTGGGTCCCGGCTGCCAGCAGGTCTGCCAGGCCCTCCACCTCTGTCAGGTCCAGCTTCCCTGCCTGGGAGGAACAAAGATAGCGCAAGGGGTGAGACGTTAAGAATGCAGAGTGTTGATGTCCACTCATCAGCCCTGTGTGCCTGGGTATCTCTGGACCCCTTGGACATTGCAGCAGCAGCTCATTCATCTCCAGAACATTTCCCCGCGCGAGTGTGCTCCTTTCTCAGCCCAACCCATGTATAAAATCAAGCAGCAGTCGGTCCCTGTCGGTATGGTACCTCCACAGAACCACCCCCCCTTCCCTACCTCAAAGGCCCGCCGTGTGAACTCCCCCGGCTCAGCAGGTCGTAGCCCTGGCAGGCTCCCAAGCGCCGCCAGCACGGATCGCACGACCGATGGGCCGCCATGCAGGTGGAACTCCACGCAGTCCTCCCCGGTGTAGCTCCGGGGCCCAGAGAAGCGAGTGACCAGCGCCTTGTCCAGAAGCTGGCCACTGGCCGGGTCCACCACCTCGACGAGGTGGAGGAGGCGAGGGGCTGGGAGCCGAACAAGCGCCGGAGCCATCGCCGTCAACGCCTCCCCTGCAAGGCAGGACGACGACGTACGAAGCGGGGTGGGAGGGCAGGCAGACAGTTGGTCAGGCGGATGGGTTGCTGGGGAACAGCACATCCTTGCACAGCCCTCAGTGTGACCCTGGATAATGCCACGGTGTCGACAAACTCCTTGACCATCACTGTACAAACACAGTGCCACCCAACCTCGCAATGTGTCTCACCCGACTTGCTGCCTGTCAATCTCACCACTGCCACTGCCGATCTGCCTGCCCCAGTGCTCAAAGCAAAAATCGTGGGCGGCTCCGCCAGGGAAGCCATACAACGGACTGCATGGCGGTAAACATTACGCACTGGTCTTGCCAGAGAGCGTGGGCACCGCGTCCAAACTCTCAAGGCAGCCGCAGATGCTCTCATGACACACAGGTCGCAAGGAGCCGGGTCGGGATCACGGATCGAGCATTCTCGCTAATGCATGATCTCGCCGAACACGAAACAGCAATTTATGATGCATAAGAACAGTGTACATGTCGATGCTGACGCCGGGCGATTGAGTTGATATTGTGGTGGTGCATGTTGCTGTCGAGGAAATTTTGCGCGCGCGATATCGTGTGGGGGTAAACAACTAGGCAAAGGGGGTCATGGGGAGGAGGAGCAACTGCGTATCCAGCATACACATTGGATCGAGATATATTGGTTGAATCCGGTCAAGTTGTCTGCATTGCTCGAGTTTACTCGTTGGTCGGCACCTCGGTCACGCAGCTTGGGCAACACGTCGGGTTGAATGGAGTAACTAGGAGACCCGAGCGAGGGTCTCTGCCAGGATGAGAGGGCCCTTTTTCGTACTTTTGTTCATCTCCCTGTGTGCCTGTACCTGTCTTGGCTCGGAGCCCCGTCAATTGCGACTCAAGGTCACATCCCGAGACATAGACTGGGGCCCCCACGCCCACCGTCGTTTGCTCCTCCGGAACTCCAGCATTCCTCTCCATGGCGCCGTAAAAGAGTTCGGGTATGTATGCCGCCTCCTTGCATGTAGGGCGTGTGTGCTGACGCTCTCCTCCGTACAGGAGTACCATATACAGGTTGCCAACAGACACCACTCCCCCTGGACCTCCACGCAGCTACTTCTTTGCCAATGTCTACCTGGGCTCCCCCGCCCGCAAGTTCAGCGTGATCGTGGATACGGGAAGCACCATGACCTACATTCCTTGTGCCGAGTGCGGGAGCTCTTGTGGACCCAATCACTGGGTGAGGCCTGCTATGCCGCGTTATGGGAACCTCATCTGCTTGGGATTGGCACAAGACCTTGGACAGAATGAGCATGTCATGGGAGCATTCCGCACCTGATATTCAATGCTGTATGCCATGATTTCACCGCTCCTTCCCATACCCAGGGTGGGTCATTTGATCCGAGGACATCCAACACTTCTGAAAGGATAGGCTGCAACTCGCCCAAGTGCATCTGCGGCTCGCCGCAGTGCGGGTGCACTGCCAACACCTGTACCTACACCCGGAGTTATGCGGAGCACAGCAGCAGCTCAGGTGTGCCCGTGGGGTGGGAGTCCCTGGGACTCAGACTTGTCATGTCACCCCTGGTGGGTTGGTAAAAAGCACCCCCCCAGAATGCATCTGACAGCTGCTCCTCCTTTCCCAATCCCCACAGGGTTGCTGGTGCAGGACGTGATGCACCTGCACGATGGCAGCCCCCCCGTGCCCATCACCTTTGGGTGCGAGACACGGGAGACGGGCGAGATCTATTGGCAGACGGCGGACGGCCTGCTGGGTATGGGGCGTTCCCCTGCCAGCGTGCTCAACCAGTTGGTGGCTGCCGACCAGGTGGCCAACACCTTTTCGCTGTGCCTGGGGTCTGTCAGGGGGGATGGCGCCCTCATACTGGGGGACGCGGGCATCCCTGCGGGGGTCGATATGCAGGTGGGCAGGAGGCAGTGAGTGAGATCATTCTGGGCGTGGATGGGCGATTGGGGTCCTGCACTGCGCATGAACAAGAACCTGACGCAGACAACTTGCAAGGCGTTGTGCATGGGCTGTAGAGGACATGGGGATGGTTGCATGCCTGGTTGAGCTTCTCTTGGTGCCTGGGTATTGATGGCATTACAAGCAAGAGTACCATCCAACTACAACTTGCCCCAGTACACGAGCCTGATCACATCAAGCTCGCATCCCTACTACTATAATGTGGAGCTGGAGGGCGTCGGTGTTGGAGGCAGGATGCTCAGTGTAGACCAGGTATCTCAAGTGGGAGGAAGGGCGGGGCGCCATGACTGTGCAGCCTGTCCTCCCTCCCAGCGCATGAATTGTGCTATAGAAGGATTGTCCCAGGAACAAGGACGTGGCATGACACAGTCGTCCTGCAATTGCATCCCAAGCCTAGAAAGCATGTGATCATCTCGTGTTCCATGTGTTCCCACCCATCATCCCGCTTCCCACCATTCAGGCAGAGTACTCGTCCAGAGGATATGGCACCGTCTTGGACAGCGGCACGACTTTTTCCTACTTCCCACGCCGTGTTTACAAAGCATTCATACAGGCGGTGACTGAAGCTTCCCTCGGAGCTGGCCTGGAGAAAACCACTGGTCCAGACAGCAGCGTGAGTAGGTGTAGTTGGATGAAGAGGGAGGGCCAAAATGCGAGCTCTGGCTTGAAAGACAAAACAGCTGAGTGGTGGCGGGCAAAGTGATGGGCAAGGCGTCTGCTTTGTATGCTCCAGACCCTGGCAAGCTTGTTGCCTACTGGCAGCTGGCATCAACCCGCTGCAAATTGTCGAGCACGAATGGCATCCCACTGTTTTGCGCTGTCAGATTTCGCGCCTTCCCTTCACAACAACATTTCATTTACCAGCATTTGACATTGTCGTGCAGGTGTCAGACATCTGCTTTGAAGGCGCTCCCGAGTTTGCAGATGCTGTTGGGCTGTCTGCTGTCTTTCCGTCACTTGAGCTAGAGTTTGCTGGGGTAAGTGAGGCTGCTCAGAGGCGCGCACTTGGCGTGCTGTAGGAAGTCACTATCTTATGGACAGGTTCCTAGCTGGGCATCGCTGATGCTCCACGTCCGCCCAGGGGATTTCAATCCCATCTCCTCATGGTCCAAACAGGGAGTCAGGCTGACCCTCCATCCGCTCAACTACCTGTTTGTGCACACATTTGGGACTGGAAAGTATTGTGTCGGCATCTTTGATAACGGGAACTCAGGTAGGGACATAAGAGTAAAACTGTATAGCAGAATGGCATGGAGGACCAAGTTGATCCCGATGTTTCCAAGAGCCGGCTCGGTCCAATTACTGTCGATAAGCATGGACAGCAGGAACTGACTCCCTCAAAGTCCATGTCTTTATCCTCCTTCTGCATGATCCCCACAGGAACGTTATTGGGCGGCATTGTGTTCAGGAACGTTCTGGTGCACTACGATGTCTCTTCTGATCGTGTCGGCTTTGGTCTGACCGAATGTGCTGCTCTAGGGTCCGACATCCGACCACCATGCTCCATTTTTGACCCCAAGGTGGTAGGGGTCTCCTGGGGCCTCAGGTTTTGATCGAGGGTCATCGTGGACCCAGGCAGATGTGAGTGACATTTCATGTACTCGCTCGTGTTCTGCCCAATCCCTATCCGCTGCTAGCACAAGGTCATGCTTGGTGGACTACACCCTTTCTTTCTGATATTCTCCTTGCAGAATCTGGAAGCAGCGGCGACATCTGGAGACTGTGCACTGACGGATTCTGGAAATGCCAAATCCACAGGACCTCTTGATGACGGGTCTATATCTGGGACTGAGGAGGTTCGGGCAGCAGACTCTCCGACTGTCGGCGCCGACGATGCCGTCAGCTGGAGGTCGACGGCAGCTGCTCTGCTACCCTCCCTCACCCTGGCCCTCTTTGGTCTGGGTCTGATGGCAGTCATCGGCGTCGTTGGTGCGGTTGTCCTCCTCCGCCGTCGGGCCGAAGGGGTGTGGGGGGAGGACGACACCTCCGGACGATCCGCCGATACCTCAGGATGGCGATGGACGCAGGGCTGGCAGCCCCGACGCTGGTTTGGCGCGAGGGACGCCAGCGGCGAAGCACTGCCCCTGCATGGCACCTCCAAGCAGAGGTCCTCGCACAATGCCCCCACCCTGCCCGTGATTCTGGAGGCAGCCTCCAGTGGCGAGCTTCCACGGGCCGTTCCCTTGGCTGTGCTGGGACCCAGCCAAGACTAGGGTGGCCGAGGAATGGCGGAGAAGGACTTTCGGCAATACTGTATATTGATGGCCGGTTGGCTGCCGCCAGGCATGCATGCACAGCATCCCTCCAGGACCAAGCGGTCTCAATCAAGGATTTGTAGACAAGACATCTTTTCAGATCCTAGAGTGAGGGTAGTTGGTAGAGGTCCTGACGCTCACAATACGCCAAAACAATCAAAGGGCTATCGCGCTTTGGGCAGATAATCCAGCATGCCCAGGTCTCGCAGCGCCGCTGATGCAGCGTCCTGGAGGGCTCCTGGGGCCGAGGAGTCCCTGATGGAGTACAGCACGTCTTGAGCATGCAGCGCAAGGAGTTCTGTCTTAGCCTCTTCACACCTGTCGTGCTTGGAGGATGGCATCTCGTGGGTGCATGCCAGGCAGAAACAGACACAGTCGCATCTCAACGACCTCCTGACCTCACGCTGTCCCTCGCATTCCGTCGCGCTCAGTCTCCACTGGGATGGCTTCCATGAGTCATCTACCGACCTGGCTTCCCAGTCGCAACCCGCACCTGACAGCCATGTTGCGGATGGCCATGCATCCCTGCCGCATCGCCGAGGCGGCCCGTGGGTCAGCGGTCCGCTCCATGGCTGCAGCAGTGAGCGCCCTGAGGACCGCGTCCAGGCACCCACGCTCCCCCACAAGAGCCAGGGAGGCGGCCGGATTGCGTAAGGTAAGGTTAGTCATCAGCCCCAGCACCTGCAGCGCATGTGGGTAGGGGTGGTCGACACCTGCATGCAGGAGGGGCACGCCCTTGCTGCAGCTTGTGAGAGCCTGCTTACACACCTCGGCATACTCAGGAGGAGGACACCCTTCGCACCTGTTCAGTAATGAGGGGCCGTGTGTTGTACCGCTTGAGCGCGGAAGCGAGTCGTGGGATCACGTCATCCTGGTCCAGGAAGGCGGCTTTGCACGAGTCGGAGGAGCAGAGCTGGCGCAGGGCGGCGCAGGCAGCCCGCATGACGCTCTCCTCCCCGGCTGCAGCGAGCCGTGGAATGGAGATGCAGGTGGGGCGGTGAGGGTGAGGAAGAAGGCCTGTGGTGTCAACAACGTTTGACACCGCAGCAATGGCGCCCAATCAAGCAACGACCACCACTCTGCCAGCGTTCCCTCCCCTCCCTCCGCCAACAACCTTTGCTGGCTGCGCTGAAGTGGCGCAGCAGGATGCCGAGAGCGCCGTGCTCTGCCGCCACGCCACACAACTCCTCGTTGGCCGATAGCTGTCAGGGTGTGCGGGAGCGGATGAGATTGTTGCATCCACTGTGCATTGTATTATTGTCACTCCCTCTCCTATCCTGCACAAGGAAATTCGCCCACAGGCCCAGAGAGGTGCACCATCCTAGCACCAGAACCATGCACTATCGCGCACACTACCTGCTTGATGGCCGAGCACAAAGCCACTAGCGTGCTGGGACTCGTGGGCACGCCCTCGCGCAGGGAGAGGGTGCGCACCAGCACCGGGAGGGCGCCCTTCCCCAGACTCCGGGCGTTGGCAAAGGCACTGTTGAGGGAGGTGTAGGGGGGGGGGGATGGGGAGGGGGGGGGGGCGGGTGCTGCGCTGGATGTGATGGGTGACGAGCAATCATGACCGCGAGATCATTGGGCCAACGACACCATGCATTTTAACAGGGGAGCAGCTCCCCAGCAGCACAAGCGACAACGCTGTTCGAGGATGAGCATGGCTTCGCCACCACACACACACACACACACAGAGGCACTATCCACCCCATGGCCCATAGACTCGCCTGCTACTGGGCAGCGTGTCATCGTCGGCGCATGTCAGGGCGGAGAGCAGCGAGCAGCACGCTGCGAGGCCCTCCTCCTCATCTTCCCCTGTCGCCCTGCCCACAGACTCCAGAACGGGCAGGGCGGCAGAGGCCATGCCCGCCACCAGCAATGCCACCTTGCCGGCCTCATGCTTGCGCGCCAGGGCCGTGGCCGCCTCCAGGCCAAGTGCTTTTACACCCAATGTGCTTTCTGTGCGAGCGGAGTTGGGGGGAATGCAGGCTTTGCTTGTGGTTTCGCCCTCAGAAAATGCTCGTGCAGGTGCCCAGAGGCGTGCCCGGCATCCCCAGGTCCAGCGGGAACCCACCACGTCATCAGACAGGGCACTGCCTCATTGTTATTGCCGGTGAGCAGCCTGGACCCGAGAGCATGGCAAAACCATTCCTCCCACACCTCCAGCCTCACCCGGTCTCGCCACGATGGCTTGGAGGATGGGCGGTCCAGTAGCCTCCAGGCATGCTGTCTGGTGTGAGCGTGTGCCGAAGAGGGCCTTGAGGACACGCAGCCCCGCGCTTGCACCCTCGGCGTCCGCAGCGCCCCCGCCGGCCTCGAGAACGCTCAGGAGAGCGCCCACTGCTCCCCGCTGAAGCAGGATGTTGGAGGCTTCTCCCTCTGGATCCTCCAAGAGCAACACCAGGTGGTGACAGGCCTGGACAAACTCGGCACCTGAAGCAGTCTTCACAGTAGCCAAGCACTCCGCCGCTGGGTGCCTGGAGCGCGGGTTGGGCCAAGGGTTTTCAGGCATAGCGCGAGATTGACCACTGCAATCCATAATCAATGACAGCTTGGTCACAGCCACGGGTTCCCTTGCGAGCCTGGAATCCAGCCGTTTCCAACGTTCTCCAGGAAGCGCACAACATTAGCCGCCATGGCCCACCCTGACGTGTTGCCCCCTGAGACAGATTTGATGATGTTGGACAGGTCCACGTTCTGATCCTCAAACTCGGCAATGGCCGATTTCAGAGCCTCCTCTGCCTGTGGTGACGTCGTTACACAGCTTTTGAGAAGAGCACATTGAGATCGCGGGCACCCTAAGATCACATTGTTGATCATCGAAAGCGGCGCCGGTCCATGTGCTTCTCGAGCACACTCACCTCCATGTCAAATTCTACGATGTTTTCTCGGACGGCCTCATCAAAAGTTTCCTGCACGCGCACCATAGGCAATAACTTATGTATTGATCCGTCTGGAGACCCCATCGGGGCTTCTTGCAGTCAACCTCCGTCGTCCCGTACCTGAGTGATCCGACACTTGCCGGCCATCTTGGCGAGCTGCGATTTCGAAAACATGGCGTTACTTATTTATTAATCCCTGTTTGTTCACATCAGTACAATGCTTGCCTCATTCTACACATCGCCTTTTCGCGAAATGCACTCACAATATCAAATGTGGGTGGTGGGTTTGGCGCGCTGCCTGCCGAGCCCCGCGCGCATCTCGAGCAGTACAAACTCGGTGTGGGGTATTTGTGTAACCACTTCTCTGGTTCAAGCACGAAAGAATCACCCACAAGTCAAGCGTTGGCTAAACAAAGTGACGCAGCAACTGCTGGAAAGACGTGCAATCGACCGTCTGCTTATCTGTCTAAGCAATAATTACATACTCAGTCTTTAATGGGTGGCCCCGTTCTTTCGACGAGACAACACCTGTGCGTGCCATATCTGCAGGTGGTTTCGAGGAAAGGGAAGTAACGGGTCATCCAATGAGGCAAACTGCACAATCAGACAGTTTAGGTCCACAAGGTTGTTTGAGGATTTTTGAAGGACATCGAGGCCGAATCCGATCACGAACCCATACTCGCACCCTCTGACAATACGCACGTACAGCCTCTCAACTCCAGAACCAACGCAATGCAGCCTTGTTAGGCTCACCGTGGGCACTGACATCAATGCACTGGGGTTGATGAACCACAGGAAGTCGTACCCCTCCCTGTGTTTCCGAACCTCCTGCAGGGTCGGTTGACATAAGAATGTACTTTTTTGCGGGGGTCAGGAATACCGTTATGTCAGCAAAGTTCTCATTTGAAAGGCCAAGCGTGATGGGATGAAGACTCATAAGTAAGTAATGCCCCTTTTGCCTCCACTCACCTTTCCAATTCGTTCATCTGAGAGGCAGTGGCTGGACCACAGATTGTGATGTTCAATGCCAGGTTCCAAATCGTAGGGATAATCCTGCACAATCGTTTTGAGGTAGAAGGGTGTGGACACGCTGAAGTGGGATGAATTGTACCCATCGTATGCACAAGAACACCCTGCACCAGAATCCTTCAAGCTCCCCTATTTCATGACAGAAATCCACTCACATTTGGGCGCCAGACAACATCCTCTGATTCTTTGAATCCAGGCGGTATCACAGCTTCCAGTTTTCCATCTGTCGAGTGCGTGGTCATGGTGTGGGCGGGTTGCACGTTGAAAGGCTGGCATGCCCTCAACAGCCTGACACCTCGCATTACAATGCTTACCTTCAGCTTCCTTGGTCTTGAGTTTGAAGACGGTGTGTAGCAAGTAGTCTGTCATGGACTGGTACTCTTTCTTCTTCTGCTCTCTAAAGAGCCAGTAGTCTCGCTGGGCAATCGGATCGCGACCCAGCCGGCCAAGAGCTGCCGGACTCCCATCCAGGATGATTTCCCGGAGTTCCTCCCAGGAAAGTGGCTCAAGACGCAATCCTGAAGGGGAGCATCCATGTGTAGTGAGAAGAGTCAAGCTTGTAAGCCAACATGGTTGAGGGAGTTCGTCTTGTCACCCACCTTTGTAATACAGCCGACCGACCCTGCGGGTTTCGCGCACCTGGGATACCCCTGACTGACTCCCAATCAACATTGTGACCAAATCTGAGCTCATCAAAAAGATGCCGCAGACGAGCATTGCCTCTCTTCACGGCAAGATCATGTTCAGCAATTGACTCGGGGCTGAGCTCTACCCGTTCGCAGGGGTGGTCCGAACAACCCGTGCGCTGCATGTGGGAGGTTGCTTTGAGAGTCCCACGATACAGGATGTGAGGGACTTATGTAATTGTATGCAGATTTTGTCAAGAGGGTTATTTATTGCCCCCACACCCAGCCGAAATGTGTGTGCGGACCCTTTAAGGCCCACGGCTTCCTGCCACCTCCCCCGCGCGGACAAGGCTGGTCAGGCAGACTGAAAATGCGGCTGGTAACCCTTGCCCCCAGTGTGTCATCAACTCTTAAGCCTGGGGTAGCAAAAGCACACAGCCTTAAAATCAGAAGCGCAAGCTTATGTTCCTGCATACACTCAGCCCTGGACTGGTCTTGAAAGAATGTGGACGTGCCATATCTGCAATGGTGGGCCGGGGGCAGATACTTTAGTTATCACTTATAGTAATACACATCCCAGCAGCGTGGTGCTGTAGAGCATCAGAGGCACCGGAGCAAAGACAATGGAGGCCAGTGACATGGCCCACCACATTCGAAAAGATGTCAGACACCCTGACTGTCACCTGTGGGCAGGACATGAGGACCACAGGGTTTTGAAACCATGCGGTCTCGTAACCTGCTCCTCTGTGCCGGACAATCTCCTGCATGGGTGGCAAGATTGGCTTCGGTGGGTTGCTTCATCTGGTGCAGAGGCTTTCGGACGACATCAGCTTCATGGGTCAGCCGTTGTGTAAGCCTTTTCGTGCACACTCCTGCTCAGTATGCACCTCCTCATGTGCATTCTGGCCTGCCTCCAACCTCCCACCCACCTGCTTTATTCTATCCTCGCTCAGTGGGGTCGTGCTCCAGAGACAGTGATGCTCAATGCCCGGCTCGTACCAGTACGGGAAATCATTCTCCATCCATGAGATTTTCTCAGTCTCAAGGAAGCCAGATGGTAGCTGGGCTTGCAGTCGCCCATCCCCTGTCTTTATGCTGGGCACTCCAAAGACATGCACATACAGGTAGTCCAGCATGGAGACGAACTCCTTGGTCTTGATCTCCCGACATCGGTCCCAGTAATGTTTGAGACCGAGTGGGCTCCTTCCTAGCTGTCCCAGAGCGGGGGCACTGCCATCCTCGATCAGAGCCAGGAGCTCATTCCACGTGGTGGGCTCAAAACGTACGCCTGCATCAATGGATGGCTTGAAGACTGATCACAACAAGATAATTAGAGGAGGGCATCTTGGGACAACTCTGCGCATCAGCAAGTCGGTGCGATCATCTCACCGCAAGTGGTTCCTCCTTATGTGGAATATGTGCAACAACCGCAATGCTCAACAATCGGCACACCCACCGCTCGTGCCACGCAGCTGGTCCAGGTCAGGGTTTCCCCCCGCATCAATCTCTGCAAACAGAGACCTTGCGAAGTCGTCCTGCTTGTTGACCGTCTGCACATACTTGCTGTCCGCGGCCTCGCTCGAGGCCAAGGTGCTGGGCATTCTGCATCGGTCGCGTGTATGTCTGCGCGCAGAATAAGAGGAACAAGGCCCCCCAGCGATTGGACATGTGATTGTGAGGGCCACGATAGGCAGTTGGTATTGATCTTCGCATGGCTATGACGTTACGCGTCTCCCACTTTGAGACCGATCCGGTGATCTGTCATCGTAGGGTGAGAGCTTTCTTCCCTCGGAAGTGTTTGCACACGAGAACGAGCATGATGCCATCATTTTCAGCTTCCCATCCACTCTGTTGGCCAGTGCGATGCCCACATTGCAGCGAGTGGTGTCGTCCTCGTCATGAGTTGTAATGCTTGAGACGCTTGTACTTGAATGCATGCCTCAGAACCCCTTTGTTTGATCACCAGCCACCCCACTCCCAAACACAACATCGTGCATCCCTCCTGACCCCTGATCCTCATGTGGCTTGTTGTTACACCTCCAGGTTGGCGTTTATATCGGTAGAAAAATGTTTGGGTACAGGGTCGGGCGGGGTGCCCAGAGGTGCGCACCGAGGCGCTTGGGTTCGGTGTGTGCCGGAGTGTGGGGATCAGGAGGCCCCCAGCGACAGGGCAGGGCGCCAGCTTCACCCGGAGCACATGGTGCAGGCGTCCTTGTTCTCGATGCTGTGGTATCGAAGAGGGGGAGGATGCATGTGGGGTGGAGCAGGTGTGGGGCGCTTGGGGCACGGCGACATCACACCCTCGCCCCACATCATGGCTTCAATGTCCCATGATCCCAGCCAGGCAGTCGACGCCACCACCATCCACCATCCCTAAATCCTTTGCCCCCCATCACATATACACCCCCCCCCCCTCCAACGACCATCACGACCAAAAGATACACACCTGCAGACCATGGCGGCCAGGGCCGCCTCGCGCGCGGCGTCGGTGTCCAGCACCGGCTTGGGCTTGGCCGGCGCCGCCCCCGCGGCCAGGGACAGCTCCTCCAGGGTGGCGGCCACGTTGGCCCGCGCCGCGCGCTCCTCCTTCTTCCGCGCCAGCTGCTGCTGGTCCACGGTGAACTTGATGGCGTCGGCCGCGGCGCGGGTGCGCAGGTAGTACATCCCCGTCTTCAGCCCCTTCTTCCAGGCGTAGAAGTGGAGGGAGGTGAGCTTGCCAAAGTTGGGGTCCGACATGTGCACGTTGAAGGACTGGGACTGATCGATGTACGCGCCGCGATCCGCGGCCATGTCCACCAGCGTGCGCTGCTTGATCTCCCACACCGTCTTGTACAGCGCCTTGAGCGCGTCGGGGATGTCCAGGCCCTGCACCGACCCGTTGCCCGCCACCAGCTCGTTCTTCATGTCGCCGTCCCACAGGCCCAGGCGGGTGAGGTCGTGCAGCAGGTGCTGGTTCACCACCGTGAACTCGCCGGACAGCACGCGGCGCACGTAGATGTTGCTCGTGTACGGCTCGAAGCACTCGTTGTTGCCCAGGATCTGGAAGGTGGGGGGGTGGGGGGGTGGGGTGGGGTGTGATGTGCTGTGTGTGAGGAGACCAGTGTGACGGAGGTGCACCATACCAGGGTCGGGCTGTGCAGTGGAGAGACCAGGGCCACTCAACCAAGCCTACCCACCGCCCACAGCGTCAGGAGGTGTCCACCCCCACAAATCAACATCCCCCCCCCCGGGCCACACACACATCGTCATCGTATACCCACCCCCCCAAACCCACCTGGCTGGTGCTGGCGGTGGGCATGGGCGCCACCAGGAGCGAGTTTCGCACGCCGTGCGACTTGATCTGCTCGCGCAGGCCGTCCCAGTCGAAGCGACCGCTGTCCGGCTTCACGCCCCATGCATCCTGCTGCAGCACGCCGCGCGACATGGGGGACCCCTCGTACGTCTCGTAGGGGCCCAGGTCCTTGGCCAGGGCGCAGGAGGTGGAGAGCGCGGCAAAGTACAGCGCCTCGAAGATGTCGCGGTTCAGCTGGGCGGCCTCGGGCGAGTCGAAGGGCAGGCCCAGCAGGATGAAGGTGTCCGCCAGGCCCTGCACCCCCAGGCCGATGGGGCGGTGACGCATGTTGCTGCGCCGCGCGGTCTCCACTGTGAGCAGCGACGGGACGGGGGGGGGGGGGGGGAGGAGTTTGAGATGTGCAACTGAATCAGTTCCTGGTCGATCATGATGCTGCACAGGAAGGAGCCAGTCCCCTCAACTGAGCGCTGCCAGGCAAGCTCATGGTCTTGATTCAGAAATCAGGAAAGCCCAACCCCCTGACGCAGGTCTGGTCGTTGTCTGAGTGCACGGCGCCTGAGATCAGCTCTGCAGAAGGGTCATGACACAAGCCTCCTGTCCCAGAACGCCCCCCCCTTTTTAACTACCCCCCCACCCTACACACACACCTGGGTAGTGGTTGACGTCGATGATCTTGTTGAGGTTGCGTGTGGCGGCGCTCACCACCTCCACCAGGCGGTCAAAGTCAAAGTAGCGGCCCTTGGCGTCCAGGGACCCAATCAGCTTGCGCCCCTCGCGCCCGCTGGCGTCGCGCACGTAGCGCGGCAGTGCGATGGAGGCCAGGTTGCACACCGCCGTCTCCTCCGGCGAGGAGTACTCCACGATCTCTGCGGGCCAGGAACCAGGGGTGGACGGGGGGATGCCTCAAGCTGCTGGACGATGCGCCATGACAAGGGCTGGTCATGGTGACTCCCACCCTCCCATCCTCGTCACACTCTGTGCCACAAAAACCAAGCACACACTCCCCCCTCCCATCACCCTCACCCGTGCACAGGTTGCTGCTCTTGATGGTGCCCAGGTTCTGCTGGTTGCTCTTGGAGTTGCACGAGTCCTTGTACAGCATGAAGGGGTTCCCCGTCTCCACCTGCGCCTCCATAATAGCAAACCAGAGCTGCTGCGCCTTGATCACGCGGCGCGGCCTGCAGAGGGATGGGATGCTGGGGGCTGAGCAACAGCACGAGGGAGACATTCTGGTCAACAAAGAAGGCCAGCCTGTGTGGTGCAAGGCAACTGTCCACACCCCACATCCATCCGAGCGCCTCGCCAAGAGGAACCCATGCCAACGCAGTCTCTGACAATGCCACCCCCAACACCATCATCACTCACTCCCCATGCTTCCAGCTGGGGCCCAACCCTCCGCCACAAGTCTATCAACCCACCCTGCACCGCGCAGTGCACCCCCCCACACGCCAATCAAGTTCACCACCACCAACAACCCAACTCCCTCACCTGCCCTCCCGCTCGTAGCGGGTGTACAGGGCCTCGAACTCGGGGCCCCAGCAGTCTGCCATGCCCGGGGCCTCGTTGGGGCAGAAGAGGGACCAGGTCTCATTGGCCTCGACGCGCTTCATGAAGAGGTCGGGGATCCAGAGCGCGTAGAAGAGGTCGCGCGCACGCGCCTCCTCCTTGCCGTGGTTCTTGCGCAGGTCCCTGGCGGAGCGTGGGTGTTTGTAATGAGCTCGAGTGGGGGGCCAGGAGGGAACTGGGACTGGATGCAGCGAGAGCGCCGACCCTGCATGCCGGCCATGCCACCGCACGCACAACACTCTGCGACAAACACCCCCGCCACAGCACTCGGCCGCCCCGACACCAACTCCCCCGCAACACCAACTCATCACTCCGACTCACAGCCAGTCGAAGATGTCGGCATGCCAGGGCTCGAGGTACATGGCAAAGGCGCCCTTGCGCTTGCCGCCTCCCTGGTCCACGTAGCGCGCGGTGTCGTTGAAGACGCGCAGCATGGGCACGATGCCGTTGCTGGAGCCGTTGGTGCCGCGGATGTAGGACCCCGTGGCACGGATGTTGTGCATGCTCAGGCCGATGCCGCCCGCGGACTTAGAGATGGCCGCGCACTCCTTCAGCGTGTCGTAGATGCCCTCGATGCTGTCGGCCTTCATGGACACTAGGAAGCAGGAGGACAGCTGGGGGCGGGGGGTGCCGGCGTTGAACAGCGTGGGCGAGGCGTGAGTGAACCTGCGCGCAGGTGTGGCGGGTTTCGCGTGGGCGAGAGTCGCTTTGACTGCGGCGCCGTGAGCTCACCCTGCGTGGTGGGCCAGAGGCTGCACCCCATGAGAGACAGAGAACAAAACGGCATCCACAGCCTACCAGCGCTGGGACAGGAGGTGGTAGGTGTCCACGGCAGCGTCCACGTCCTCCTTGTGGATGCCGACGGCCACGCGCATGAGCATGTGCTGCGGGCGCTCCACTACGGCCCCGTTGACGCGCAGGAGGTAGGATCGCTCCAGCGTCTGCCGGTCAGGGGGGGGAAGGGGCGATGGGGATGGCAGTGGAAGGGCGATTCAGAATGCAGGATATGTGCAGGACTAGACGAGTGTGATCATTCCTGCTCCTGACCAGTTCTCATGGAATGTTGTGGAGGCAAGCACGCATTTTTTAGCACATACTGCCACCAACCACCGAGGAGGTAGCATCCAGTGTAAATGATGTGCATCACACCTTGAAGCCAAAGTAGTCATAGTCAAAGTCGCGGTCGTAGACGATCTCTGAGTCCAGGCGGGCCGCGTTCTGTGTGGATGAAAGAGAGGAGGGGGATTGGAGGATTTCTCATGTACATTGGTTGGCACGAGGCACGGACTACATATGGCACAGCCAGGTGCAGGTCAGCGAGATTCAGCACCCCTTCAAAGCACACTGTGCGGGTGGTACCAACCTTGATGATGATCTCAAACACATCGTCGGCGATCAGAGGGGCCCTGTCGCCATTCTTGGGGCTGATGTGGTTGTACATGATCTTGATTCTGCAGATGTACAGCATGACGGGAGTGAGGAGCCCAAGAAGGTTTGAATTAGAATGCAGCACTGGGGAGAAGAAGCTCTTGTAGAGAAGCTATTCGAATATCTCAGACACCTGCTTCCCTTGGTCCCTTGTCAGAACTCCATGAGACTCACGTTTCCGTAAAGGACTTGAGGGTGTTCTTGTGCAGGTTGGAGACGGCGATGCGGGCGGCAAGCTGTGGAGGGAGAAAGGAAAGGGATGAGCACCTGGCAGGAGGCACACCAGGAAAGTCTTACTCACGAGAATGCCCCCCCCTGAACAGTACTACCTGTGCTCCCCCACAAGTGCATCACCTCCCACATGATTAACCTTGCCTGGGCATAGTCGGGGTGGGTGGCAGTCAGAGAGGCAGCAGTCTCTGCCGCCAGCTCATCGAGCTCGCTCGTCGTCACGCCCTTGTAGACACCTGTGGTCACTTTCTGGGCCACGAGGACCTGCGACCGGAGGGCGTGGATTGACTCGGTGAGATGCTTGCTCGTGAGGGGTTAGGGTGGCCGTCGTCCGTTGGGTCCCGATTCACCAGCGCTGTCCCCCGCACCGGGTCGCAGAAGTCCGAGTTGAGACCATAGGACAGCTTGGTGATGCGCGCCGTGATTTTGTCAAAATGCACGGGCTCCTTGCGGCCGTCCCTCTTCACTACGAACATCTTGCAACAGCTGCGAACGGCAGCAGGGGGTGGTCCACGGGTGAGAGATATCAAGCTCTCCTGGCTATGAGTCCTATGTGGCTACACAAAATGGACGTGGAGTAGGTGCAGGACAGCGGCACGCCCATAATATTTGAATCGAAGCACCGGGAGATGAGGTGAGCGCAGCACGCTCGCCGCACGCTGCGATATTCAAACCGAGTCTGGGCAGGCACTGATGTCAGAGCTGGAGCTCGGATGGGGACATCACTGCAGCGACCCCCTGGTGACCGAAACGAATGCGAGACGTGGGCCCCTTCACTCTTCCCCGAGCATGTCTAAACGCTTGGCGATGTGAAGGCTTGGTGGACATGCCCCCTGTATGAAGAGGAAGATTGTTACACGGGGAGATTCAGGACACGAGACTCGAGTGATGGATGATCCACGTGATGTTTTTATCATGGGGCACGGCGAGTATTTTCTACTCTTGCAATGAAAAGGCTGTGAAGAGACAAAGACCGGAGGACTGGGGACCTCACGCATGGACGCCTGAATTTTCTGACACATGCATGCACGGCTGAGGTGTGGGTCACCAGTTCAAACTGTGGCACATTGCCACACGATGCAACGCAGACTCCTCGAGTCTCCATCAGGGCAGCTTGGCCAGCGTGTCGTTCAAAGCGTGCTGCAGCGCCGAGAGCTCCTCCGTGACCTCCTCCAGGAGGTACTGGAACGAGTACCACCGCACCTGGGGCAGCGCTCACATAGAGGGAGGGCATTCTTAAGCACGCGCACGGCGGTGGGGTCCTCAGGGTGAAAGCATCCGGGGGATGTGGCAGTGTAGAGACGTCCCACATCAGTACATGGCTGGTCAGCCTGCCTCGCTCAGACCCCTGCTTTGCGATTGCATGTCGCCGAGCTGGCACACCCACTGATCCCCTCGACCATCCTTCACCGACACAGCGTTAGGAGCCCAAACCCACCCATCACCATAAAAGCCCACCTGCGCGACTCGTCCCTCGGGCGTCTCCGGGAACAGGAACACATGGAGCCGGGGGTCGGCTGCCCCTCCGTTGAGCGCGGCCAGCTGCCGCGCAGTGGGCCCCTTGCCCCGCTCCCCCAGGCCGCTGACGGGCCCGAGCAGGGCGGCCAGGCCCGGGCTCGACTCGGCGGCGGCCGCCGCACGCAGGGAGCTGCGGCCAATGGCATTGGCCTCGGCGGCGGTGGAGCCGGCCCCGCCGCTGTGCACGGAGAGCCTGCTGGAGGGCAGGCGCTCGCTCAGCGAGCCCACGCGCGCCCTCGCCCAGTCCACCAGCTTGGGTGACCCGCTGGAGTGGGGCAGCGGCAGTGGGGGTGCGCCCGCGCCGGGGCCGGGCTGGCCGGGCTCCTTGCTGATGAGGGGGGCGCGCAGCCCAGACTCCGACGCGCCGGCCGGCTCGGGGGACGGGGCGCGCGGCAGGGACAGCCGGAAGAGCAGGGACGAGGACGGCTCTGCCTCTTGCCCCTCCTCCCCCCTCCACCCCTCGTCGCTGGAGGGAGCAAAGGCGCTGGCCGGCGGCGCCGTGCCCTCCGCCAGCTGCAGGGAGCCTGCCGTCCGGGCCCCCTCCTCCTCCTCGGCCCCAGGCGCCTCGGCCCCCTTCACACCCGCCTCGCTGGACGAGGCACGGTCCTGCCCCGGCGCCTCGCCCTCGGCTGCCCGCTCCTCCTCTGGCACCCTGGGCAGGGAGCCCCTGCGTGCCGCGCCCGCTGACTGGCCGGTCGTCGGCCCCGCCGCGCCCGCTGACTGGCCGGTCGTCGGCCCCGCCGCGCCCGCTGACTGGCCGGTCGTCGGCCCCGCCGCGCCCGCGCCGACGCCCTCCGCGCCCTCCTTGGGGCGCGGGGCCTTGGGCGGGGAGTCGCGCCGCAGGGCGCGCATGAAGGGGGATACCTGGGCCGGGGCGCTCTGCGCCCCGGCCACGTCCACCTGCTCCTCGCCCTGGGAGCCGGGGGGGCGGTAGGACCGGTGCGACAGCATGGCGTCCACCAGCCGGTCCCACCCCAGCCGGTCGGGGCGCTGGGTCCTGTGCGAGGGGTACGGTGGAGGGAGGGAGGGTGGGGCTGAGACGCGTCGTCCAAAGGTGCCACATGCCATGCCAGCAGACAGCCTGAGGCATGGAGCGACACAAACGTTTGCAAGTGAACGGATGCAAACGACAGACTCTCCTCAGGACACGACATTTTGAAGTGGACAACACACATTCCACAGAACAACCCCGCCCTCATGCCCAACCTCAAGCAGCTGCCACCCTGTGGTACCCCACCTATACTTCTTGAGGGCACGGATGATTTGCCGGCGCTGCATGTCAGAGGTGGACACCAGGGAAGCCACCGTAGAGACAAAGGCAACCAGAGGACCCGGCATGATGGCCGGCGAGAAAGGGAATGCATTCGTCATTTCCTGGCGGTCATGAGAGTAGGGGGGTGGGATGAAGGCTACAAAGAAAACACCAGAGCGGATGTCCCTGCTTGGGATCGAGACCGTATGAGCGCCCCATGCGTGCGAGTGCACAGGATTACCGGCGCTCTTTCCCCTCATGCGTCGAGGATCCCCCTGTGTATACCACCCTCATTGCTCACCTTGGTCACAGCCTGGCAACTCAGACCCAGCTTCCTCATCATCTCCTCTGGAAACTGCTCGCCCAGCATCTCCTGTTGGGAGAGAGGAGAGGAGCAGCATGCTTGGGACAGACCAAGCATGGCCTGGTCGGCCTTCCCTGCCTGTCTGCCCCATCCTCGATCGCGTGTTCAAACGGACGCCCCACCTCCTTCACAGGTGCACTCAAAATACCCGTGGCCCTGCGCCGCCCCCCCCCAGCCTCACCTGGAGCTCGGCCCGGAAGCCATACCCCAGCGTGTTGATCAGCTGGGAGAGGAGGCGTGCGACCCTGCGAATGCCGACGCCCACAGCTGCCAACTCCTCCAGCGGCATCTGGGTCTTGGTCGCCAGGCAGAGGGGCAGATCTGGTGCAGGGGGGCGGGGGTGCCGGTGGGCCTTGACGCGGCTGTAATCGCGACGCCTCCGAATGACGCGCTCGCAGTCCGCCACTGCCCCGGTCCCTGCCAGATTCTTCACTCTCACCAGGGGCGAAGAAGGGTCGCCCGGCGTAGGATCCAACATACCACTCCGCGTCTGCCAGCACCATGTTGTCCATCAGCTTGAAGCAGGACTGGTACACCGAGGTGACCACCTTGGTTGTGGTGGTGGGGAAGCAAGAAGGAGCATTGTGAAGGTGGTTGGTTTGGGGAGATGAGGACAGACGGCAATATCATTTCGACCTCAAGCTTAAAATTGGATGGCCCAAGCCTGCATGAGACGGATGCATGCAGGGGTCCTGATTTTGCCTGCTCCGCAGCACAGGTTGCCCCTGCCATCAACGTGCTGACCGCACCTTCTCGACCTTGGACTCAAAGGCGTCCTCGGCGGCCGCACGAGCAGCAGCGGCCGCAGCAGACCCCGGGACCTGCGCCTCCACATCCTCAGCGCCAATGGACATGTACCCCTTGTTTGACCTGGAAGTGGGGGTTGCTTTTGGCGACAACCTGTGCAAAGAACACAGACCCTTCACCATACCAGCAGCAATCAACACGACATCGTTGCCTGGCACTTCCCACAATGCAAGCGACTCCCCGCCACCCACCAGGGCAGTGGGTGTTGATCTACAGAGGCCTCTCCCAGCTCAGGACCCAGGATGTAGCTTGTCCAAGCCAAGCTGTTTAGCTCCTTGAGTGACTCCAGGGCAGTTTCAACGCTGCAAGGAGTGCAAGTTGCGTGATTCAGGAATCATGAAACGATGATCCTCGCGGACGAGAATAATTTCACAGCGACATCTCGTGCGTAGGGATCTAGAGGGAATTAGGGAGATTGTGCAGGGCTGCCTATAATCCTGGGAACAATTTGCTCATCCCTCCCTACCCAAGATCATACAGTCCACTTTCCACCGTGCTCTGGGCGCATTCCCCACTGCTCAGCACACCAGATTCCAACTTACTTCCGGATGCATTCTATGCTGGCGGATTTAGGGAAGACCAGGATGGACAGAATGAGGATGAGGACAACGCCTGCTAGGATGCCGCACACCCGGTTCCATGCCAGTAAGCCAGCATCTATGGCGAGGGGGGTAAGGTGGCTTTAGGCTATCCCTGGAGACATTGTACAATTGATAATTGGGATATGACAGAAAGCATCGAGGATTCCCTCTCGCGACACAGATTTCAATGCTGCAATTACAGGAGCGGAAGCCCACGGACATCAGATCCCCCCCCCCCCACGTTAAAAGGTCAAGGTCATAAATCCCTGCTGATGCATGGCTCTCAATCACTCACCTGAACCACGGTCAGCACCAAAGATGACGAGAAGGAATGTGATGATGTAGAGTCGCGCAGATGTGTCCAGCTTCAGTTTGTGGCCCACGAGAATGGCCACAAAGGACACAACGCAAGCCCCAACCGTGAGCACCATGCCATCCGTTTGCTGCATGTGAGAGGCAGGGAAGAAAGCTGAGCAAGTGGCATCCGTGACTCTACAACCCATGGGAAGGGCATGGTCCATATCACAGGGTACTGACCTCATTCCAGAAAAGCTCCCCAATCTGGAAGACGAGGAACCCGGAAAAGCCTCCGAGGATGGTGCCCAGTGCACGCTCCATGCCAGTAGTAGCAGCCTTGGGGAAGTGCAAGGGGGGGGGATTCAGGGTTCTGTCAGGAATTTGTCCCTGACACACCCATGAGCATGGAGACCAAGACGGAGCAAGCATGAAATGCGTGCACAAGCGCACCCAAGCAGAGATCAAGGTGCATCAGTCACACTACAGGCAAACAATGCTTTCCCATGAATAAAGCCATCGACTTTCACCAGCAGCACCTTGCCGAGAAGGGGGGCGTTTACGACGGCCATGGTGATGGCACACCAGAGGCATGCCTGCGTGAATTCCCTCTTTCGGGGCAATTCTCTACCCAGAACACCCAGTCCGACTATGCAGGGAATGCATATCCCAACTGCAAGGCGGATCGCGCGACGATACTGCTCGGGCAGGGTGCTCCGCCGAGCAAGCATCGTGCTCAAATTTCAAAGCCAGCGAATCTCTCCGTGGCTCAAGTATGCGGTGATCTCATCCTTATAGCTCCAGCCATCGGGAACCAAGGTGCGTATGAGACGGGATGTGCGAATCAGCAGACTTGGGCCGATCGCCTTCGGCTCCGATTCTTTCCTGAAATTGGATGGCAACTACCGATACAAATTCTCACCCCCTCCACCCTTCCCCTCACCGACGGAGTACTTGCTTCCCCTTCGAGGTCAACCTCGATCCAACACCCAGTTCATTGTACAGTGGTTGTATCACGAGGTATATAGATTCATCAGATGTATGGGAGTGGCAGAGTATGATGAGGGCACAGCTTGTTCTGAGAAGCATACATCATGAGGATGCTGCTTGTGAAAGGCTGGCCCCTGTGGTATTGGATGCAGTTGGGCCATGCGCTGCCTGCTCCACCTGTCGCCCACCTTCAGGACTGGGTGGTACAGTGTTGCTTCTCACCGCTGCGGGGTCCCCTGGGCCTACAATCGCCGAGACGTTTGTGCCGGCCACCACATGCTGCAAGGGCGCCAGCTCTGTCTGCACACCAGTCTGCGGCTCCTCCCGTGACGCCGTGCTATTGACGGCAGGGTCACCTGCAGCAATTTCCCCCCCAGCCTCCATCTCCACGCTGCTTCTCTCCAGAGCAGCCACCATGGCAGCTTTCTTCACGGCCGCCGCATCGACATTGGCATCCCCTGCTTGGGCAGAAGCCTCCTCTGGATTGCGGCTCGATTGGGGAGATGGTTGCAGCTGTGACACAGCGCTGCTACCATCACTGGTCGCACTCGCTGCCAGGAAGCCACGAATGAGCAGCTTTGCGGTGGGGGTGTTGGGGTGCTATTGTGTTAGTATCCAGCAGGCAAGTCGTTGTGATCCTCAAGCACTTGGCGTCTCCCTTGTGAATGTTTTTTCTCCAGAGATTGGCCCTTCTGCACCCTCAGGGGAGCGCAGCATAAGCCATGTGCTATGAGAAACCGAGACTTCCCATGCGGATACCACTCAGTCACCTGAGGCTCGTACAACCGAGCGAGCAGGCCCTGGTGGAGGAGGTCTGTGGTGACATTGTCCTGTTTCCAGAGCAGGTGATCCCTGAAAAACTGCTTCAGTTCATTGTCATCCCTCAGCGAAGACTCCAGGAATGCCAACCTGGGGATCAGTGAAGAGGAGCAGGGCAGCCTTCCATCAACGACTTATTCTCACCGGGTGCGGTACTCAGATCAGTCTGCATGGATGCATACCACGTTGCCCCATCGGCTTCGACCAGCATTTCGATGGTACACATTCCCCCCTCATGCACACTGCCCCAGGGGGCACTGGATCTTCACGCACCAACAAGCATGCACACATGCCCCTGGCTCATGGATCACCTGTCAAAGGGCAGGATGAAGCACCTCTTGGCGTCCTCCTCCGTGGGCGCACAGTCGCAGCGATCCCGGCGCCCCTTGAGGTCGGAGAACCGGTTGTAGGTGTAGTGCAGCACCGCCGCCACCTCGCTCGTCCACTCCTCCATGCTCTTCTCGTAGCTGCTCCACCGATGCGCTCCGTTGGGCCTCAGGCCTGGGTGGATCCGGGCGGCGGCCTTCCCATTTGCATAGGTCACAAAGTAGTTGGGGTTGCCGTGCGCCACGCTCACGTAATTCTTGAAGTACAGGTCTGCGTGAGTGGACCGGCATGGCATGGGAAAGGGGAACCCGAGGGATCACAAAGGAACAGATCTGTCCCATGATAAAAAGTGTGTGGGACTTGGGCACCTCAATTTCAACAATCACCATGACACGGCGATGCACAGCGGTAAGTTACAGGAGGCCAGCGCTTCAGCCCCCACCGCCTCACCCGAGACGATGTGCTGAAAATTTTTCTTGAAAAGGGTGACCTCCAAGAAGGGGTTGAGTACATCCTCCCTCTCCGGCAGGGCCTCATGGTTTGGGAAGACAAGGGAGTCCACATGGCTTGGGACCGCCCCCAGGACCTCTTGCAGGGAGAAGCCTGGAGATCCAGCAGGGTACATCAGCTCGTCGGTGTCGACGTGTAAGATCCAGTCCATGTCATCCTTTCTTGCCAGTTTGATGGCCTCTGTCGATACGGAAGGAGAGAGCCATGTTGAGGGTGCTGTGCAATGTGATCGTGTCGCTGTTGGGGGATGAGCAACACACGATAAATCCCTACTACTTGATCCCACCTTCCATGTTGAGCGACTGCAGGACAAAGAGCTCGTGGTTGCACGGTTTGTGGAAGAAGGCGGCCAGCCACTGCTCTTTCCAGATCCTGTCATGATGGAGGTGGATCCTTGACATTATGCGTTGCGTCGTTGAGGGCATGTCAGCTGAGTAGCACAGTGGGCAGGTGGGAGGACAAGGGTGCATGCGTTACAGCCACAAGGAAGCGCCCCCTCTCATCATGACAAATGCCCATGGGGTGCTGTGCAGCTTTGCACCCACCTGCTGGTGGCATGTGTCTGTTTCAGCTTATCGTCATACGGAACGACCGTCACCTCTGGCAGATGCTGAAGGCCAGCGATGTTCTCCGGGAGGGCGGCCTGGACGGTAGTTGGAGAACATGTGAGAGCCCATGCACTCCATGCAAAGTCAACCAGGTACAGATCCCGTGGAGACCCTCCTCTGACTTCGGCATGTACCGATCTGCAGGGGAGTACAACACACCGACGCACCCTGCCCTGGACAAAAAGGTAAAAACGTGCGACTCCTATCGCCTTGTTGTACTGCAACCAGAGTCTGAGGTCAGCCAGGGGCTCCGAGGTGGTCACGCAGAACGCGATCTGGGGCGTAGGGATACACAGGGAACGCTGGGCTTCATATCGACACTGCACCACTTGTAGTAGAGGCAGGCATCCACCATTGTCTTTCAATCACTATTCCAGGACTTGAGCCTCTGTGGAGCCACATCCATGTTGATGCAGTCCCATCCTCCCAATAAAGTGTTACTGGCTCCTCCCCTGCATCCTCACCTTGACACCATTGGGGTTAGGACCTGGCCCCTTCCATGGACTGTCGAAGCCTTGGGGGCGTACTTCCTTGCGCCCCGTCAGTTTAGTGGCACGCTCCAACAGGACTGGGCGCCGCTCCAGTCCGGCCACCAGGTGATCCTCGCTGCAGTGGAAGTGGGCAGGAATGCCTCGGCATGCACCATCGCAGACTCATAGCTCTGGTCGTGCGGGGAAAGATCCCTCGCTGGACACCTATGCACGAGACCTCCACACCGACTGCCTACCTGAAAATGCTCGCGTCCAGCCTCTGGTCCGCGTCGAGAGGATCGTACGAACCTCCGACCGACGAGCGCAGCACCACAGCAAAGAATGCGAGGAAAAGGGGGACGGCCAGGAGTAGCTGCACCAACCTTGGCGAGCCCCCTGAGTGTGGCACGCGGAGTACCGAGGCACGGGATGTTTGGGCCCGCATTAAATATTCTGGTGGTCACAAACTTCCGCTATGTTGCATTTTACTAATTAACTGTGCACACCGGGGCGCAGGTATGCCACGCGATGCACAATTTCTGCCTCCCAGAGGGGAGTGCTGCACTCTCCTTCCCGATGGGAACGAAAAGCAGGGCGCAGATGGACACAAATTTAAACCTTAGCGGTAAACGTCACAGGAGAGACTCTTTGGGGGGACTTGGCTGTCATCGGTTTATCGTTGACAATACGGCGCGTACGTGCCGAAGCTGTTGTCAGGGGGTCCTTCCAATGTTGGGCGAGAGAAACAACGCGCGCGGTCCCGGAAGGGTAGGCCTTAGCGACCCTCGCCCAGGAGCATCACCTCCTATGCTGGTAAAAGGGCCTCTGAATCTCTTCCATTGGTATGAGTATATTTATGAAGAAGGTCATGGGCTTCTCCATTTCGAGGGCACTCAGACTCCGCCCTTCACAAGTCCCAGACGTCTCCATCAGGGATTGAGAGCATTCCATGACTCGACATTAGAGATCGCGCATTCCACAATTCATAGCCTGCATCCGATTCAATGGCGCTGATGTTGCGCCATGGTCTGTCCAGCATCAGGAAGTTGACCCAGAGGCTTGCTGGCCCTGTTGGTATACCCAAGACTGCAGGACTCCCTGCACCTTTGGCCCATGAATCTCGACGCTGGTCATGGAGTCGCAGGTCTGTCGGTTGAGGATGTTCTTGTGGATGTATGAAAGCACCCACAGATGCCAGGCTTCATGCCGCTGACGTGCTGATGCTTGACTGGCTCAAAGTGGGGACAGGAACATCCATGCAAGCATGGCGAGAGCGCAGCCCTGCACCCCCCTCCCTGCCAGGACCGAGTACCAGTACTTTGGAAATCGGAGGCCGGCGCTGAGCCTGTCCAACCCCAATGCCCTGCGGGTGCTGGCGGGGCTGGGTGGCGGCGGACTAGTGGTGTATGTGGTGGCCCAACAGGAGGTGCCCTACACCGAGCGGCGGCACGCCATCCTGATCTCCCAGGCCGCAGAGCGCGAGCTGGGCAGGCAGACCTACCGCCAAGTCCTGGAGGAGGCCAGGGCGGAGGGCAGTCTGGTGCCCAGCCACCACCCGGCCACCAAGCGGGTACAGCGCGTGGGCTCCCAGATCGCTGCGGCGGTGAACCGGGGTCAGGGCGGCGGCTTCCAGGACCACATGCAGGGCCTGGAGTGGCAGTTTGCCGTCATCGACTCCCCACAAGTCAATGCATTCGTGGTGCCGGGAGGGAAGGTGGTGGTGTACACAGGGT